TTGAATATGGATATTTTTCTTACAAAAACGCATCGATTCGCTACAGGAGGCCTTTGTTTGTCCAACTGGCAACCCGGGGTGCCGAAACACAATTGGGTAAACTGGCAGTGGGCGGGTTTCACAAACCAAAACAAAGACTGACATTCCGGCCCGGAACGCACATGTTCAAAGCAGAATAACTGACTGTAGCATTGTTTTTCAGATAAACAAGCATGTTAGCTTAGCATGTTTCTTAAATATCTGCAAACATATTATGGTATTTTTATGCTTTAGTAGAGTCAAAAACTTACATACAGCGCCTTTAAGGCAGTATTTGAGGCAGTCGACACTGTGAAATGGGTTGATATATAATATATAGTGCTGAAGCGAGTGTGCAGTTATCTTTTGCCTCTATAAAACTTTCTTCTCTAACTTGCATCTCAAAAAGGTGTGTTTTTGCACCAATGCATTGTTAAAGGATCAGTGTGTAATATACCCGTATAAAACTTACGGCCGATTAAAAAATACTGCTATAGCAAAATTCACAAGATCAATGCATGCTTTATCAAACCGCTTTGTTGAATTTAACGCATCCTTACAGGCATCTCTGGATCTGTGAATGATCAGAAGTTGTGTATAATCCTGAGTTCATCATCATTCACTGATCCTGGTGGAAATATAGCTAAAGAAGCCAAACAAGACTTTTTAACCACACAAACAGCACTTCAGCTCAGTTTTCTCATTTACTATGGCAGGGTTCCTCGATAGGCGGCAATGACTGGACATCACAGAGGCGTGATTAGCAAGCTAGCTGCTGTCAACCCAGCACTCATGGCATTTCACTGCATAGCTCATAAACCGGTGCTGTGTGCCAAACTGTCTGGAAAAATGAGAGAGACAATGGATACTGTGATGAGGCTGGTAAACTATACTCGCGTGAGTTCTGGTCTGAACATCGCCTTTCATTCTGAGCCTTGCTGGAGGAGATATCAGCAGAACGCCACGATGTTTTGCTGCATATACTGGGACTATCAACAACAACAACAACAACCACAACAACAACAACAACAACAAAAATACTATTTAAGTTTGAATACTTCAAAATTTCACATCCTGTATAATTCATTGTGTTACTTTGTAATTCTTTGTGAAATTTACTAGCAATTTCTGAGTGAAAACTGTTTCGACGCCATTTTTAAAAAAATGACTAAATAAATTAAATAAATATTTAAAAAATGTAAAAAAAAAAATCTATAAATATAAAAATTTTATAAAATGTAGTGCAATGTTTAACTTGTAAAATGTAATTAATTCAAGGGAAATATTAACTCTTTGCAAGAATAATGAAAGCAGCAGCAGCAACAACAACAACAACAACACCAGCAACAGCAACAACAATGACAAGAGCAGCAGGAACAACAACAACAATAGCAGCAGCAACAACAACAACCGTAGCAGCAACAGCAGCAGCAGCAACAATAGCAGGAACACATATACTGGGACTATAAACAACAACAACAACAACAACAGCAGCAGCAGCAGCAGCAGAGCAAACATTGTGGTCGTGGCCCTTGGCTTTGTATGGTTGGCAGAATTTGGCCCTTGGTGAAAACGGACACTGTTCTATTGCGATATATCGTTACAGCCCTAGTCAATACCTTTAATTCATGTTCATCTCTTTAACATGTATTTGTGGATCATAATCCATTTGTTTGGAATTATGCAGCAAAAATATCTCCACATAGAAAGGGTCATAAAAAGCCTTACATAGATTTGTATAAATTCTGCAGATACACTGTAATAAACAGAGAAAACAAGTCCTTCCTCGATATTTGTGCTTTGATAATGTTTCGATTGACATTTCGACTCCCATCTATATAAACTTGGTGTTTTTGATCTGGGATAATACTCGTCTTTGGGGTTACTGAAGAGAACACACTGCTGACAGCACCAGAGGACAACAACACTGTGAACACAACCCTGAAGCTCTTCTGTTTCAGCGGAACACAAAGCAAAAGAGAAAGCAAGCAGTCACAGCACGGCTGGCCTCTGAACGAGCCACTGACATGTTTGTTTACTGGTCTGAGTGGAAATCCCCCAAACCGGAAGTGCCCCTCACAATCTACAGCCAGCAGCTGGATACAGCACACGCGGTTTACTAGCTTAACTAGTAACTAGTTTAAACCTGCTGAAGGAGCGCCAGCTGTCTGGGACGCAGCACAACACTAGCACAGATGAAGCAGTAAAGCCGGTGTAAGCAGAGGCGGCTGTCAGGCGGATCATTCACACACATCCAGCAGTAACTCACCCGCGGACACTCCAGCCAGAAGCACGAGACACACTCCGAAGCAGCGAGGCGCCTTCATGACTGTATGACCGCAGAGCTGCAGTCCGCGTCGAGAACACAGGAAGCGGAGCGCCAGTCACGCGGAAGTGATGCCACGGAACTACAGGGCGTGCGTGTTGTGACGCAGTAAGCAGGGAGGGAGGGAGTGCTCTCCACACAGCGTCCCACTCGTGATCTTCTTCTAGTCTTAAAAGCACCACAGCAAATTCTTAGTGCTTGAGTCTGAATACACTCGTGATCTGCGCCAAACCAGTCTCCTTCTCCTTCTTCTTCTTCTTCTTCTTCTTCTTCTTCTTCTTCTTCTTCTTACATGGATGAGTAGTTGTTAACGGTGTTGGCCTGTTTAGACAAGCTCTCTATAAAACAGACAAAAGCCCTGCAAATTATAATAATAATTTTAAAACATATTATACAGATATTAATGGTATTTTATTATTGTAATTGCATTTAATGTGTTATACTTTAAGTAAAACAGTTGCAATGGGTTTTAAATGTTTTTGTAAAAAGGTTTTACGCATGTTTTGGCCATACAGTCAGCTGAGTTATTGTTGCACTTACACAGTTTGACCAGCAGGCGTCCCCAGCGCGTGCTGTCTCGAGCGCTTCGAACACTGAGTCATGTGATTCCAAGCTTCGGAAAGGTTCGTTTCTCCGTCCATTCTGCAAACCTTGGTGTCGATCCTTGATTCGTGTCCTCCGTCCACCACGCACTCTGTGCTACACAGTATAGATTTGACCATATTTAACTGACACAGTGTGAAAACGCGACAATATGGATGTAAAAGCAACAAATCTAATTAAAAGAATTGAGTTAATGTGTGAATCTCGCTCTCTCTCTCTCTCTCAGAGAAAAACACGGCGCTCCAGGCCAGCAGGCGGCGGAGACGCGCTCTTACACCGCAGCAGCAGAAGAAGGAGAAGAAGAAGAAGAAGAAGAGCGCCATTGCGTGTTTCGCGCCTGAACAGAGAGGACTGGAGCCATTGCTCCTCGTTTCAATGATAAACTTTTAAAACAGCCACAGAAGACTTGGTCACAGCAGCCATGAGGCGGACGAAAGCGGACGTGGAGCGCTATATTTCTACGGTTCAGAGCGCCTCTCCCTCGCAGAAAGCGGTAAGAGCAGCACGACAGGCCTAATGTCTCGCCTCCTGTCACTAAAACATTACAACATTCGCTGAAGCACGGCCGAACTGACCTCTGAACTTCGCTCATCATTCACAAGAGTAATTAAATACTGCCGAGAGCTCGCGGAAGTACAGAACACACCGTGTCTGTCTGTAACTCCAGAGCTGTTCACAGCTGCAGATCTGTGCGGCTGTTGTCGTTACTGAAGACTGCTATCGTTACACAGTAAGCTGTTGTCGTTACTGAAGACTGCTATCGTTACACAGTAAGCTGTTGTCGTTACTGAAGACTGCTATCGTTACACAGTAAGCTCGGGACTCGCTTGAACTTTCATAACGAGCACATCTCAGAAAGTAGGCGCCTCACTCTTCAGATGCTGGTTTTGTTCTGCACCGGTATGTTATTTGCACAGCCTGAAATGTTAATGATTCATAGTGTTGGATTTCGCTGAAGATTGTTTTTGAGGGTGAGGTTAGGTTCCCATCATGCACCGCTGCTCAGATGAATGGACAGTGACCGGTTTTGATAGACTGCTTCATTGTGTGTGTGTGTGTGTGTGTGTGTGTGTGTTATAGGGTGTGTGTTATAGTGTGAGTGTGTTATAGTGTGAGTGTTATAGGGTGTGTGTTATAGTGTGAGTGTGTTATAGTGTGAGTGTTATAGGGTGTGTGTTATAGTGTGAGTTAGTTATAGTGTGAGTGTTATAGGGTGTGTGTTAGAGTGTGAGTGTTATAGTGTGAGTGTTATAGGGTGAGTGTGTTATAGTGTGAGTGTGTTATAGTGTGAGTGTGTTATAGGGTGTGTGTGTGTTTTATAGGGTGTGTGTGTTATAGTGTGTGTGTGTGTGTGAGTGTTATAGTGTGTGAGTGTTATAGTGTGTGTGTGAGTGTTATAGTGTGTGTGTGTGTGTTATAGTGTGTGTGTGTGTGTGTGAGTGTTATAGTGTGTGTGAGTGTTATAGTGTGACTTGGAGGCAGATTAAACAGTTTTTCCAAATTAGAGCATCCACTCACTCACCCTGTCTCAGCCATCCCTCTCTCTCTCTCTCTCTCTCTCTCTCTCTCTCTGCTATCTAAAGTTCTCACTTTCATTCTTACCCTGCTGTTATCAGACATTTGACTAAATAAGATCAGTGGTTAACTGCCAAATCAAATGTATTTTATGTTTTTTGTTTTGTTTTGTTTTTTTTCAGTCCACTATTTTTCTTACTTTCTTCTTCTCTTCTTTACAGTGCATTCCAGAAAGAACAATTTATGATAACATTTTTATGATCAGAGACATTTTAGATTACTCCAGTGTGTGTGTGTGTGAATGTTATAGTGTGAGTGTGTGTGTGAATGTTATAGTGTGAGTGTGTGTTATAGTGTGTGTGAGTGTGTGTGTGTGTGTGTGAATGTTATAGTGTGAGTGTGTGTGTGAATGTTATAGTGTGAGTGTGTGTTATAGTGTGAGTGTTATTGTGTGAGTGTTAAGGCCGTTTCACACTGAGCGCGATGCGACAAAGTAAGGTGAATCGCCGACATAATCATATATCTATTTGCTTTCATATTTCATGTGTAGAAAAATGTTTCACTCGTTTTTTTAAACACGGAAGTTCTAGAGAGTTAACGCGCTCTGACTCATAACACTCGCGCACGTGGAAGAAAACGGACACTTCAGATCACATAATTCAATGAAGAATTTAGAAATTATATTAAGAACATGTGAGAATAAATCTGTTCTCAGATACCAAAGATAACAG